TGAACTCCACCAGCTCGTGGTCACTGCAGCCAAGGTTACCCCCCACCTTTTCACTGGTATTCATCCTACTCTACCAAAATGAAAGACTGACTGGAGCTATGGCCTTGATGGTCAGCACACAAGTCCAGTGTGTGAAAGGGGAGAGTTACCATACTGAGGGAGCTCCTTCCTTCTTTCCCCAAGTGGCTGCTTTATTCATCAGCGGTCCCTATCAAAGGCCCTGCAGTAAACACCAACCCATAAAATTCCTCTAAATGCTTCCTTTTAATCTCTGTGTCCTTCTGCCCTTCCTGGGTCCAGATGTGCACAGAAAATACTGGAAAGCACAAGAAATGCTCTTTTCATGAATTTTTAAAGTCCAAACAGAATCAGAAAGTATCCTTACTGATTCCTTCCTTAGTTTCCAGTCCAAAAGGAAGTAAAGATGACATTAGCTGGGTTTCACTGGCAAGGGATGTATATCCAGTGTGAATTAAACCTCCAAAGTTTTCATGTGTGCTCACTGCAAGTCATGCTACAAATGATTAAGCCTCCACAAGAGCTGAAGGACAGCAGTGCTTATACCTTACCTGTCCGCAGCGTAGCCTAGAATGAASGCACCAGCCAGGAATCCCAGATTGAGGATAGCCTGCGTTAGGTCAAGCATCCAGGCATTGCCGCACACAAGGTTATACTGTGGGAACAGTGAAGAGGCATAAACACTCCCAGATCCTCAAAGCAAACCGTTCTTCTTAACTGCAAAGAATCAGGATATAGAAAGGAGGAAAAGGGAAAAGGGAAGGACTGGGGAAACACAGCCCTGGAGAGTTTCAACATTCTTCAAGCTATAGCTAAGACTGCAGAAGAGCTTCTCCTTGCCRAAAGGAAGCTGTGTTTTGCACATCAGTTGTCCAGATATGGAAAATAAATTGCTGTTTTGTGAATGAGACACAACAGTGTCCAATCTGTTACCATAGCTTTGTTTAGTGCATAATAATGGCACACAGCTATAGCCAATTAAAACATCAGCTGATAGAAATGAAGATTTTTTTTTGAGTGTCTCCTAGATAAAAGCAAAAACCTACCAATTTTCTCTGGGAAAAAGAAAAAGACATCTCAGATCAAATTCAAGCACATGAAATACGTATTTTCTTGTGATAGCTTTCCCAGACTTTTCCATTCCTTACACTGCTGTAGCTATAATTGCCTAACAAAATATTACATCAGTGCATGCCAGAAGAATTCATTAACAGGGTTGGGGACCGGGATGGGCAGGGTTGGGGGGATGGGGATAGTGAGGGACAGGAAGGAAGAGAAAGAGACTAAAAACAACAAAACCAAAACAAAACAGAAAGAAACTAAAAATGAATTTGTTATCCAGATCTTATGCCATTGGAAACTACTTTAGAGATTCTTTGAGAATAGATGAATACCAACTGCTGCCTGCCAAGCCCTGTAGGCCTTCCAGAGTTATGAGGTTTTAATCCATACCTAGAATAATTTTAGGAGTAATCTTGGTTCTGGAGAAAGGGAAATCACAGTTAACAACAGTTTCTGTCATTTAACCTCAAAAGACTTTTTCATTTTCATTTGTGAGCTGTAAGAAATTMCTTTGTCAGGGTGCTGGTTGAGGCACACATGTATTTGTCACCAGGCTGCTATCAGTAAAGTTATTCTGCACTTGGGAGGGGTGGCTTCAYGGCTCTTTAGAGAAATTAAAAAATGCTTCTGACATTCATATTTCTCCAAATTTAAAAAAATAGTACCGTGAGCCTAAATTTCATCTTCATC